TATATATATATATATATATATATATATATATATATATAGGCGATAAGCGTACAGCTTCGTCGGTTGCCTATGCAGACTGCATGCCGTGGCGGATAACTGCTAGGATGACATAGCATCAGGAGTAAGATAATATAGGATATAGGATATAGGATATTATCTTACTCCTGATAGCATGTAATCGCTTGATGATTCAGGGTGAGTGCTGCCTCGTCTGTCTCGGTTTCATAATCTCACGCATTGTCAACTTGCACGCATAGTGACAGGGAAAGTGGTCCTTGTCACAATGATCCTGAATTCAGCGACTGAATTCTCAGGCTTTAATTGCTGTCGGGTGTCTGGCTGTCTGGCGTCCGCTACGTACGTATACTATTTGTTATTAGGATCAGAATAACTAAAGTTTGAACTCCAAAGCTACGTTTCATGATACACCGTCGTTAGACCAATTCCAATAACCCAGAGACGATGTTCAATCCTACAGCGTTGCCATAATTATTATTCAAGACCGCTTCTCCTCCCCACGACTCTAATAAGAACTGGAAAAAGAATAATTCACGCAGCAAAATGACGATTATATTGAGCCGCTGCTTTCAAATTTGTAGTAACACAGGGATTTGTCATGTGAAACCGATCGCAAACATAGATCTGATCGCGCATATAAACAAATATGTAAATTTTTCTTTAAATTGGCGATTTTATTTTATTTTTTTCTCATGCGTCGTTAATTATCACAATCAATTTCAATTTTTTATAACACAATTTTGACAGAAGCAATTCTTCTTCTTCTTCTTCTTCTTCTTCTTCTTCTTCTTCTTCTTGGTCTTAGTTCCTCGCGGATGATCCACGCTGAAACGTCAGCTAGATCGACAATAAAAATTTCGACAGAGGCAATTGCGTCTCATCAAATCAGTATTCTTGCTAACAGCGCGCACCAAGTTAAACCGCCAATTAATTTCAATTATCGACTATGTTTCTGTCATATCTTTTATCGCATCGTGTTCCTAGTTGTAAGTTTTACTGATATATCTCAACCCTTTTCTCTACTAACAGTACCATTCTGACAAGGATCCACGAACCACACAGGTAACTCCCAACTTGGATTGTGCAAGAGATTATTATTATTAAATAAAAGAACAGAATAAGCTGGAACCTTATTATACCCTACATGTGTTTTCGTTGTAGACATAATTCGTCGAGAACGAAGATGAAGAGCGAAGAAGTATTCATACGACATTACTCAGTTGGGTCGGAAAATCTCGGTGCTTTTTTGTTTGCTCTTCGAACGAATCTTTTTTTTCTTTCCTTGTGACTTCCTTGATTGAACCGAGAGTACAACACACGATCATTTATTAATATAGCAATGGCTTTACACCCAGTACACATTTCCGCACAGCATCACGTGTGACCTTTCAGTGACTGCATGTTCGAACTCTTCCGATGATATCGAATCGTGTTGTCATTTTTTGCGAGTGATTTATAATTTTTTCATACATGAGTACTGGGAAGGGGAAATATCAAACAATCGTCATAATCACGCTTGATCTGTGCTACGTCACTGGACCGCTTACCTGTCGCGTACCTGATACCCAATACCCTACGGTTATCATCACAGCAACCTGGTAGTCATAAAGCTCGCTGTCACGCACAGCTTTCGAAAGCCTGCTGTCAGCAAAGCTGGACTGGATACTGGTGAATATCACGACGAATGAGGAGAAGATTATGATGGCACGAAAGTCATATAGCATGAAGAAAGTAATGGCAGGAATAGGATGAGTGTAAGACGAATGTACGATGAGGTAAAAGGTGATGACAGGAAGACGAACATGAATCGAAGAAGAATATGACAGCAAGAAATAAATCCTTGCGACGCATGATAGCTATTCCGCTCGTTTATTTCCATAATTTCGGGTATAATACTTCTACCATGTATGCGTGCGCGTGTAGCCGTAGCGAAAGCATCGGATCTCGATCGCCCAGCAGATGTGCGGGTAGGAGGGGATCCGATCTAACTCATTGCGTCATCGGTCAAGACGAGTGCCAGATCTATTCGTCGCTGACAGAAACGAGAGGCCGACGATCTTGGATTGCGGCGTCACTGCGTGGCATTCAACGCTGGCTGTGAATTAACCAGACGCTGTTATTTAATCATTCAATAAGAAACGCCGTCGGTCGGTCGATCTACCGCACAGCGTTTACAAACATCTGGGAAACCTACGTCATTGTCGCGAGGGGGCAGCACAAGCGATGCCACAGCAAATTAACCTACACAAACCAATAATCGATTTTTTAAAGACGAGATTTCAATATTTCTTTCGAATTGTTAACCACGAAATGTTGTATGCAAAATAATTTAATGTTGATATTAAAGCGGGACAGGCAGCGACTGCATGGGGTTGACACCGCTTGGACAAAACGCGAATTCGCATATTCGTATTCATGCATTGGAAGACGATATCTGTGCATTGTCTGATGCTGAGAGCGACTGAGTGCGCATGTGCCCGTAACCGGCAGGCAGGCAGGCTTCAGCAGGGATGCCTATCGTTGATCGACACTGATCTGAGCGAAATTGGCGTGTGTGCGTGCGTGTGCGTGAGTGTGCGTCTGTGATTTTCAACATACACTTACACACTAGATGTGTGTGATGTTTAATGCACTGCATTAATAATCCGTGCTACTAAAGTAATATCGTCCAGAAGAAAACGTTCGTAACGCGAAATTCTGTAACGTGAATCACGCTGTCCCATTGGTTTCTATTATATAATTATAGAGATGCGGTCCTACGAAAGGTGTTTTTTAGCCAGAAGAAGTAGGTAATCCCCCGGTCTACCCTAACAGAAGCACAATTTGCAAGCACACATGCGTTCTACTACACACGCCCATGACTATGCGCAACGAGGAATGGCAACCATGCTACACAGTAACACAGGGTATATCTCGCTGTGCCATGCCGGCTGGTCGAGCGTGGTGATGGAAGTACACAACATTTTTTTTAACTTGAATGACGTTAGCGTTCCTTTGAACTCCCGCAGCGACCGACCCGCCACCGCCACCACGGCCGCCGCCGCGAGCTGGCACCGTGCCAGATCTGCCGTTATTCTGCAGGTATCCGTCGTGGCAACTCGGCTGCACACGAGTCGGTGATGATCAGGAAACTCGGCGAAAGGATATCGCGAATTACGTATTTATATTGGATTGCCAGAGGAGAAACGAGTGTGAGTTGTGGATTCAGCGCGACGACAGTGGTCCGACGATTTCTCTGTGTTTCTCCCGATAATATAGATGGCGCGTGAGTCAATTTCCGTTAACCCAAATGCGGACCGCTTTGAGCTGCGTTGTATGTCCGAGGCGCTCGTTTGTAAATTCTTTCCCTTATTGCGTGACTTGTTTAGTCTGACGATTCCATCTATATCAGTTCTTACTCGCTGTTCATGCTAGCTAAATATGATGCCTATATTATAAGTTACCCTTTT